GGCTTCACTGTTTGGCTGGCAATAGACCAGCAAGACTGTTTCACTTCAACCACACCAGAAAAAAGGTGCAAATCTGCAAAGCTGAGGTTGTCATATGTAAAACTAGGAATCTTCAGAAGCTTCATTTCAGAGCTTCCCAAAAGCACTTCCAGAGTTCCAAGAAGCACTTCTGGGAAGCTTCAAAACAGAGCTTCTCAGAGATTTTCTCAGAAGCTTTGAAACAGCACTGGCAGCTCTGTTTTGAAGCTTCTCCAAGAAGCACTTCTTGATTTGAGCTTCTCGGATCTTAAGGGATCATTGACTGGCCACTCGAACAAACAAGACGAAAAAGACCAAACAGGGTCCTTCCGCACATGTCCGTCATGGCGACGAATGAGGAAACTGAAGAACCCTTTGATGGCATGGGCGTCGCAATGAATCAGGCAAGGTCTGATAGAGACACCCAATTTCTTGCGAAGCTTGTACCTGGACCATCTAGAATTGCGAAAGGCACCAAAGCTTACCCAGCCTCCTGCTTCAACCATTCGACTGGGAGAGTCTTCGCTGTTGCTTGCTGCGGCGCCCAGACTTGCACAGCACAAGCCAACAGCTCCACGTTGACGTTAGAAGTGACTTATTCTCCAAAATCTTGCTTCTCAAACAGTGATTCCTTTCCCACTTGTTCGCTAGGCCCTCCAACGGGTTAAGAGCCTCCTCAGAAACACGACGCTTCCCCATCGCTAACAGTTGGCACTAGCCAAAAAAATGTATCTAAGCCTACAGTCAGCTCTATCCGCACAGCATCACACAGCTATGTTCTCCGAAACAATGGACCGCACGAAGCTGCAAGTGAGTGAAAACTGCACAGCATTGACCTGACTGCGAGGCGCACGATCCAAATGACACCTCCAAGCCTGCCAGTCAATTTTATGAACAGCTGCTTGACATGGAATCCCGGAAGAAGAGAACATACAAATAACAATCTAACAAAAGGTTTAAAGCTGGAAGGTCTTGCCTAAATCCAAAATGAGCAGCAAAGCCACCACCTGCCAAACGGTTGATCCCGTGAATGGGGTACAACCCTACATTTTTTAAATGATACATGCTTTTGCAGCGATGCCAGGCCTGGAGATAGGTCAAGCAGCCTTCAGCGTCCCACCTGTCCAATGTAGCCGGCAAACATGTCCAGAAACAAGGCTCAAAGGCGAACTAATAACTAGTTCTGCACACACTTTGAGAAGCGAACCTCCTGTTGGCGTTGAAGCCACAGGACGTCGAAGGTCACGACCAGGGTCACCGCCTGCAACATTGTGTGGTGTTTGTACGGTGAGGTGGTGCCTTTAGAAGGCCTGGTGTAGCCGGTCTAGAGAAAGCTCACCGCCATGAAAGCCTGCAAGCATTTTATGTTGGATTGGTGGTTGGAACCTGAAAGATTTCAAAACGGTTTTTATGTGTGTTTTGAAAACCTTATCACTTCCTGAAAGCAACATGTTTTTTCCACCACTGCTGGCCCACGGGTTGTGGGGCTCACCAGTTAAGAGTCTTTGGTCTCCGCTGCAGGACGTGACGACCGTTGATCGGCTGCGAGTCGTTCCTGCTCGCCTGAGAGACGCGCAGAAAGTGTGACTGGTACAATACCCCTGCAATAAGCTGAGAACATGAGAATTCGTAGACCATTGTTGCACCTAGGCACGTTCTTTCTGCCAAGATGTTAGATAATCAGCGAGCTGGAACACCGAACCCTTCTGCAAGTTGTTGTCTTTGATGACTGCAGCCTTTTCTTTAGAAAGGCACTCCTCGCACACTTGCGTAGGGTCTGACAGTGTGGGATACTTCAAGCCCTCAAACTTAGAAATAGATAAAACAAACAGTCCTGCGGGTCATCCTTGGGCCAAACGACCCCCTGCACTTCAATGAAGAGCTTATCAGGGAGGTTTTCCAAGCCTTGAAGCAATCACAGGGTGCCAGGCTGGGAAACCACCACCTTACTTACAACACGAAAGAACAAATGTTCAGATCCAGCCTGTTCCCTTCAGAAGGGCGCATGCTTCAGGGTCTAAGTGGTGCTTCTCCATTGCAAAAAGCGAGAGCCAGTGTCGAAATGGCCCCAAAGCCAAAATGCACTGGAGTGAGGTGGTCACACTTCATTAGTCTTGCTGGAGTGACTCTCATGCACTCGCGCAAAAGAAAAAATCAGTTTGCTTCTCAGGCCCGCCTTTTGGTGTGGAGCACACAGGTGGTGAGTGGATTTTGAGCCAGCGGGACACTGTCAGGGATTGATTCACTGCACATACCCACCATCACTGAAACCAGTAGTTGGTGGATCCTTGTTTTTTTTGAACATGACCCTCAGAAGGGAATGAAGGGGCACAAGAATGCCTAAGTCACCAAGAACGCCTACGAGGGACAAGAACGCCCAAGCACGGGCAAAGTCGCCTTTACCCATGCTAGGCAGAAATTTCTGCCTAAGACGAGGTCCTAGGTATGGAAATGGTGGAAAAGACCAGGAACCTGACGGGTTCCCTGTTAACTTTCGAGAAAAAGTTAACAACAAGTCAAGGGGTCCTAAGCATCCCAAGGGTCTGACCGGGTAGTCCCAAGGGTCCTTTTCATCCACTTCCATCGATTCATCGTTCCGGTGCATCAACAACTCCCCACCGCTGTCGTTCGGGTCCCTTTTCTTCGTCTCGAAGACGGGAGCACTATCCCGATTCGGCCTCCGCCTTCGTTTCGGTGGGACGACCGGGGCGGGTGGGTGCCGTTTGGGTCGTCGGGTCCAGTTCTACCGAACCGGAGGTACGACGAAGTGAAGTCGGTGTAGGGTATATATCCCTAGTGCTCCTGGAGCCCTTGGGTAGATCTTCTGGAAATACCCAGCTGAAGCGCCAAGAGTCTGCAGGAATACCCAGCTCGGACATCTGCTTCACGCTGGGAACCTCGTCATCCTTAAGCCGTGAGGTCGTTCTCGTGGGCCGTGCTGCGCCCAGTGAATGGACTCCATCAAGTCACTGCTTGGGTATCTAATTGATATATATCTACTATAGAGAGCTTATAGTGTCTATATAATAAAATATATTAAAATATACTAGAGAGCCTATAGTGGATCATTAGGGATTGAACATTTGTGAACTGTCCCTCCAGTACCTCACAGCCCTTCCACATGTGTGGGGTACTGAACGTGCCGCGTGATAAAACCATGCCGTGATCCTCCTGGACCGATGTTAGCGATATCATCCCACGTAACACGCCCCCACACAGCCGTATAGTTTGGGACATGGTTTTGTTTTGTGATATATCACACGTGTCAGACAGTTAGAATGAACAAGGTATTTAGAAGGTCAGTTGAGGCCAAGGACGATGTAACGTTAGTTCAACAAGTTTCAAGAGAGGAAGCAACTTGCGTTTTCAAACACTTGTGTGCATGATCTTCGTGTGTGCGTGTGTGCATGTGGTATCACTTGGAACAGCACATCCAACAGTATCGCCAACTCCCACGCACCAACAGCTGCGACGTTTTCGCACCAAACGCGCGCCAAAAGAACCACCTCGACGCTTCAGCGCTTCACCCAACATCTCGTACATCACTCCCAAGAGAGCTAATTACCTCATTAATTCGGCTACAGCAGGCTACCATGAAGTACTGGTTGCTCTCTTACTTGTTCCAACTCACCCCACCCCGCCCCCCTCTCACCCCACCCAACTCTCCGTGCTCCACTCGTCCAAGCGTCCCATTTGTGACTGCCAGGGATCACCACCGTCGCCCCGTTCTCCGCGGAGAAGTTGTCATCCAAGGCCCACACCGTGGCCATGGAGAAGGGAGCGCGCGGCCGGGGCACCCGGCAAAACTGGTCGTCGTAGTGGAAGGGTTGCCTTGGGCCAACGGAGGTTCACTGGTGCGAGGAGCTGCGAGGTGCGAGGTGCGGCGCGAACCTGAGGGTGAACCGGTTAACTTGGCGGTTGCTGAATTTGTAGAGATTTCGAGACATGGCATGATGAATGGATGATGCCTAGCAACCTCCAAGAAGCAAAATCGACATTCTGAGGGTGCATCTGGTGGTTTTCCGTTCTATTCTCCTTGGCCAATTCCGTTACCAAAGGCGCGCCCTTCTGTTACTTAAAGGTTCCGCCAGCCATTTGGGCTCGGGGCTCGTTGATCATCGGACTCTTCTCGTGCCTGGTCGACGACCGGCCCCCGCCACACTGCCCGACTGGGGGGGGTTTCGAACACCGACTCCGATGTTGAGGTACCGGTCGGGCTGTTGAAAACCGCGCATGGACAGATATCAAAACGAGCCGAAAAGCAGACCGGCTTTTTGGCACACCCAGGAAACCTCTGGCAGACGCTGTCAAGCATCTCTTCCCATCCGGTCCCCATCCCCCATCCCCCATCCATCCGATCCTCCACCCCCACCACCAACTGCTACTACTATGACTGGTGGCGGGGTCTCGCCGGGGCAAATGTCAATGAGTTGCGCAGCAGTTAACAAAAAGTTGGGCAATAAGAATTCGTGCAGCAACGCCATCACGACCTCGGTAGGTTTCGTTTCGTGAGGTCAGACCGAGCCCCACAATGTGTAGTTTGTTAGATAGGGGAAAAAACATGGAAAAACCATAAGAAACACAATCTTGACATGTTATGTCAGATATGTTTACATTGTTGGGAGGGTTGCCCAATGGGGGGTTAATGTTTGTGTAAATGTGTTTGCGCAACATGTTTTGACATGTTTTGAAGAGAACGATGCAATGCCCATTTCCTTTTTGCTGTTGACTCTTCGACGAAACGACGACGCCGTGCCCGACGAACTTCGGACGTGGCCGTCGCGAGATGCGAGACCGCCGATGAGGATGAGTCAGGAGGAGATGGTCCAGGATGCGTCAGCTAAAGTCACAGGGAATCGCCAGGCATCGAAAACCCACGGAACTCTCAGTGACAAGTGCATTCCAATTGGTCATGTGGTGCAGAAGAAAAGGAGTATACCCCTAGAAGTCCAAAGACTATTTTAGGCACCACCCAAGTAAAGGAAGTTCCTGAACTCGGATCACCTAAAGACCATTTTAAAAATGGTCTTGGACTGCCATGGATACCGGAGTGGATACCGGGACCGGAACATGGGGACCCATGGACAATGGGCGGACCCCAAATTCGATGCATCGACCCCCAGAAGTTTGACTTCCGAAATGGGTTCACCATGGTTCACCTATGTAATTAGGATGAACATACGCCTCAACCAAGCGAGTGGAAACATCAACATCATCAACTTGCAGGCGAAAAGATGGTCCCAATATGTCCCAATGTATCTCCAACTGGCTTCTTCAACAGGCCCGGCCCAGACCTTCGGTCTGGTCCCAGAAGCGATCCGTGTCACCCCAAAAGAAGACACGGATCGAGCGAAGCGGATGGGGTTCACACATATGGAGCCAGTGGCTGGGTGCGCAATCAGCTTGTCCAAGGCCCTGGTCTTCCCCAAGATTCCTGAGCTCTGCTGGGAACTGTCGGGGAACTTGATCAACGCACGGCACGACGCAATCAGACTCGAAGTCGAACATGTCCGTGGCAAAATCACTGGAAGGGACACCAATTCAAACATGGGTTCATCCAACGTTTAAACACGTGTCAGCAATTTTGGAGGCCGTTCATGCGGAGGCGCCCAAAACTGACGTTTTCATGAGGCCAGAAAGGCTTTCTTGGCACCATAGAAGGGGTGAAATCCGATGAAACTGTGGGTGTTTCATGGTTTTTCCCAACGTCCAAACCCATCCAGGCCCATTCAACTGTTGTTTCATGAGCTGAGAAGTTTGAGAATGGATTCTTCGGTGTTGAGGGCTCGCAGTCGCTTGTTGTCTAATCGGATCGATTCCACCACCTTGTCAGAAACCAGCACTTCCCATTAGTCATCATGGGCAGAATCCGTCCCAAAAGCGGCCCAGTCGACGGGCGTTTTCCATCCACTTGCAGGGAGGGTTCAAAGCCTGCCTTGTTCAAAGCTCAAATCATCTATGGCCCTTCAAGGGCCCATCGTGTCTCAACTCAAGAATAGCAAGTTGACCAGTTTGCCTATATAGCAATTCGTGTCAAATCGACATGTCCCCAGCATCGCCAGCAGCCCCAGCAACTGGCCCATGCACCGCAGCTTTCAACGCAGCTGAGGCTCCATAGACCCGCTTCGTGTTGTAGCCCTCGAAGTTGTTTCGACCTCCATCCGCAACGGTGTGACGATGAACAACAACAACAACAACAACAACAACAACCTGGACAGCCAAATATCGCAGGAAAGAGGGAGGGTTCTGAATATAGGGGGTGTGGACATGTGCGTATACCCTCAAAACCACACCCTTGGCATGCAACAGGGTCTGGATTGGTCGATCTTGACCAGCAGTTGTCACTTGGCTCTCTAAGAAAGATAGCTGTCACCCAACCTACCAGTGTAATTAGAGCTGTCTATCATTTGGCAACGCTTTTTCACAAAACCGCGAAAACGATAACAAGAAAAAATACAAGAAACTTCTGATCCGCAACCAGCTGCCACACTGGGGAGCGCCAGCTTCCTGGTTTTGACCACGTCGATCCACCCCCCATCGCAGCTTCAGTGCCGCAGTTCCCCCAAAATCCGGAAGTTTTCTCCCCCCAGTTTTGGGCGTGGAAGACATGATGGGAGCTTAGACCCTGGGTCCAAGACTCGTTTTAAAACGATGAGTGTTCCCGAGTTCAGGCATTTCCTGAAACCTTCGGTGCCCAACATCGTCGAACTGGACTTCTATAGGCACTATAGGGTAGGATATTACCCATCCCAAAAAGTCACTTCATTGAGACAGCGGTGCTTCCAAAATCTTCCAAATCTTGGTCCCTCAACACGAGACGCAGTTCCGGGCGCTTCCGCGCCCGCTTCCGACGCCATCCTTTGATCCGAGTGCGGAAGAGTTCTGGGGCGTGGAGCAGTTCTGTGGAGTCCGGTGTCGCTCGGAGTTGGTCGGACGCCACACGATTCTGAGACTGCAAGGTCGCTTCCGGACGACCTCTCAGCCAGCGACCTCCACCCACTTGTGTGTCTTAAACATGAAAAGACACACATCCACCATGGAGCCGGAGCGCACCCGCGGGGCCGCGTTCCCGCATCCGCCAGATCAAAACAGGATGATGTCAGGCAACACCCATCGCCCGCGTCCTTCCGACCACACCTGAGTCGGTTAACAAGGGCCCGATGGCTTCTCGGATCTCGTGGATCTCCTCGCGGCTCAAGAGATTCTTCAAGATCACCTCATCGGGCCGCCCATCCGGGCCGCCCGGGCCGCCGGCCGGGCCGCCGGCCGGGGGGGCCCCGGGAGGAAAGGAAGGACATGGGAATCGGTTCGAGCCGCTGAGGCGCGGCAACTCCTGGCATTGGAAGACCTGGGATGTACCAGAATATTCCACAAGGTTGCTTGACGGACTGGGAAGCGTTTTTTGGACCGAATTGATTCAAAGCTATCAAGTGGATCCAAAGAAAGCGATCCTGAGCTGGCACTGAACGATAGGGAGACCTGGCTGGCTGAGACTGGTCTGACCGTTGAAGATCGGGTGAAAGAGTGGATGGCGGCCCAAGCCACGGCTTAGCTTGCCCCCAATAAAAAGGTCCTTGGGCCTTCCACTTGGCCAAGCCTTCCCTCTGCAACTTCATGGTTGTTCATGGTCTTGAACCATGTTTTTCATATTTCTTTTAGGGTTTCAGCTGGTGAAAGTGGTGAACGAAGCCAGGTGGTGTTGACTAAAAAACGGTGCAAAGCCAAACACAGTTGGTGCTTTTGGGGCAGCTCTGCCGAGAAAAAGCCGGCATGAGAAGACTCTCAGCAACCGCCCATGATCTGTATTAGGTCCTTGAATTCTTTATACTAAGCTGACCGCTTCACTGCCTATGAAAGGCAGTGAAAGAAAAAAGGGACCGCAACGTCGCGCTAGACTTCCTAGCTGACAGGCTTGGGGTGGCCTCCCGTGGTCGCCTTTTTCGCGTGTGGCTCCCCTGGTCGCTGTTCCAATCCAACACCCCAGGGCGTTGGAGACCCGTGCGGAGCATCCGACCAACTCCGAGCGGCATAACCCTTCTCTTTGACCTCCTTGGCAGCCCACTCCCACTCTTTGGACAGCATCTTTCTTTCCAACCTTAAGCACGAACCGCGTCGCCGAAAAAGGAACGCTGAACACACACACACGTCCCTGGATCACGGATCATTATCGTGCTTGCCCGGAGAGTCTGGGTGAACGTCCAGGCAAAAACGATTCCCGATTAGAGATTCTTCGCCCTTTTGACCAGATCGAAATCAAAGAGAACTCTCAAGAACATACAGATTAGCTACAGGCCACCGTCCAAATATAGAGACCCCATACAAATAGAAACGCAACTCCCCTTTCACGATGTATTCGACACCGTTTCTAAGCCTTTTGAGGACCACTCGTCGTGTGTGCGGTCGCACACGCCAGTGTATCCAAGGTCGCACCGACCCCGGTGTTCAGTGCTTCGGTAGAGCCCCCGTTTGCGACCCAGGTGACCTCTTCTACCTTTCGGAGTTCGGAACATGGTCTCAGAGCGAACATTTTATGCCACTCACACCGGTTGCAGAAACAACGGCGGCAGCGTGCTTTTGTCGCAGGAAATGCCGGATCTACCAGGGGGTTGAAGCCGCCCTTGAGAGACTCTTTGGCTCGAGTCCCGATGTTCATGTGATTTTCATGCATATGACCCGCCAGCCAACAGGTCACCACTAAGTCTAAGCGAAAACAAGTCTAAGCCTCAGCCTCCAGACTCCAGACTCGGAGACCTTGACGTTGGAAGGAGCTTCATGATATTGTAAGGGGCTTGACGAAAATACATTATCTTTGGCATTTGAGCCTCTTTGAGCCAAGGAGTTCTGGGGGGGCTGTAAGTCTTGCTGTAAGCCAGTGAGAAATTCAAGGGGTTGGCGATTCCAGCCCCCACACTTGCAAGTAAGAGCAGCTAGCTGATGCTAGCATTCATGATAAGATCATGTATAGTCGTCTAGTAAGTCTCTAGATGTCTATAGTAGATATTCTGGGTACTTCTGGGTTCTGGTTGCTCATTGAGATTGGTGACTTCAGTCACTTCCCTTGGTTCAAACCTCCGGCTCCCGGCCGCTGGTTCCAAGCTAGCTTTCGGTGCCCGGGTTTGGGCCAGTTCAATCCACTCGGATGGTTTCGACTCGATTGCGGCATTTAAAAAAATACCAGTAGAAGATTCCGTTCTTGGGAGAATGTGCCCTGATATGTTGGTTGGAATCCTTGTCATCACCCTGCGACTCTTCAGTCTGCAAAAGCCTCCACTTCGGAGACCTAACGGGAAATTCTTCCACGCCTTCTCTATGAAGACTCGTCTCACATCTCGTCTCTAAACACGACCTGCCGCCACGCTGCGGCGATTCCATGTTGTCCATGACCTCCTGCGCCGTGCTTCCGGTCCGCTCCGCGGCTCCCGGGAAGCTCGGAGAACGAAGTGTGGTGCCCCAGTCCCAGAGGAGGTCATGACTGGTGGCGTTTCCATACAAACACCACCAGTTAAACCACCCAGTCATGTGGAGCAATAGAACTGCACACCTTTTGATGGATCCTCTGGGACTGTGTTGTAGGGGTCACTGTCTATGGCATGGAGTTTTCTAGGTCACTTTTCAATGGGGTCACTGTCACTGTCAGGGCTCATTCTTGGATCGTCTATGTCGGGGTCACTAGACTGAAGAGTTACCTAGATCATCCTAGATCCACTGGGTTGCGATGACACAACCCTGCGAGACCAACTTCACTGGAGATCCTCTGAAAGATCTTAAGCTTAAGTTGAAAGTACCAGGACTGTCCAGGACTCAGGATCTCCTGGCCGCCTTTGAAGCCTAACTGGACGTTTTTGAACACCTATTTGTTACATTTTGTTGCCAGGAAACATCTGTGGGAGGATCAAAGGATCTCAGGATGATCTCAGGATCTGCAAGTTCCCAAGACCCCTCGGCTCAGTCATCAAGTGCCTCAGTCGACTAGGTCATGCTCAAGTCAGGTGCCGGTCCCAACGGGCTCGAGTCGCTGCCTTGTTGGTGTTGATGCCACTGAAGCTCGGGTCGCCCTCCGTTGCCAGAGCCATCCGCTGGATCTCGTGCTGTGCACAGGAAATGCGTGCGTGCGCCGCGCAGCGCCGCGGAAAGGGCTGCGGAAGGGGCTGCGGCAAGTGCTAGCTAGGGGGTGGGGGGGGTTCAGCCAAAAGATCAACGCTGTGCCCCAAAAACAGGGCTTCGGAACCTCTCCATGATACCCCTCCACCTCAGTCCTTCAGCCCGATTCGGCATCCAACGACCATATGTTCCGATTCGGCATCCGGTGGCTTTGGCCCGTTCGAATGAGATTTAGTTAAGCAACTGGAGACTGAACGTCGAAGAAAGGACACTGGTCAGGGGAGGCATCCGATTTTCCTGGCCGAACCGTCCGGTGTCGTTCGAGTGCCTTCAACGAATACCACTGAAGCACTTGCTCATGATGCCTGGCCTTGCTTCATGGGTATGTGCGAAGGGCGATAACGAGTATATCATACCCCCCAATTTTGGGGGACCGGTGACCGCCGGTGATCGGTCTAATCGGTTTTCTGGATGACTATAGTCAGTCGGTTGACGGTTGATCCAAAGCTGGGGGGGCAAGGCTAGAGAGAACTAGTAAGCCTGGCAAATGTCCCATACATGCTGCGTGGGTTCTTCTGGCACTTGGAATTTCCCAGGACTGGCAGAAAACCAGTCGATCCGCACGTTCGACCTGATTTGCAAGGTCAAGGTCTGTTGAGGTGAGCAACAAGTCAAGCCGGTGAACGCGGAATGTGTCTGTGGCACGTGCACTATCTCCAGAGTGAACCCCCACAGCTTGGTTGAAACACAGCCAAAACCCATGCGAGGTGAAGGACCTTTGGTACATCAAACGTCTTTGTCTCTGTCACCTCCATCCGAACGTCCAAAACCACGGTTTTCCATCTGTCATGAACCATGAACCACCTCATAGGATCCTCTTCCTCCAATTTACGACCAAACAGAAGGGCCCACTACTGACGTTGACCGGACAAATGAAAACGCTCCGTTCATCTCGAGATGCAAGCACACAACAGTGCCCACCCGCATCCGTCATCACCAAGGGGGGGACCTGGATGACGCATGGATTCGTCGTCACCGGGGAATGGTCCGACCGAACGCCGCGGACCCATCCGACGCCTGGAAGCTCTCCCCGGCGAAACCTACACCGGTCAAGCAGACAGACCGAGTCAAGCGAAGCCTGAAGAACGGTCGACCCCGTTTGGTTGGGGGAAAGGGGTCGAATTCCGATGGCTTGGTGTTCAACTAGGTGGACAGCTAGGTAGTGGGTTCCCTGAGACCCTGTCGTCTTGAATCACATGAATGATTCATGATCATTCATGATCCACAACTATTTGCCGTTGTATTGTGTTACTTTGTTAAATATATATATATAATATGTATTATATGTTTATTCGAGTGCTTCATAGTACTTGGCAAGCCAGTCGTTCTCGGTCTCAGGGTGCCGTCTCAACCAAACCTTGGAGGCCTTTTCACTCATTCTTGGAGGAGACTAGGCATCATTATACCATCATGGGAGATTTGGCATCCTAAACCCCGAGCGTTTCTTGGAGGTGTCACCATGAACACCCGAAGCCCGGCCGCCCGCAGCGGATGTCCCTTTGGGGGGATGCGGCTCGAGATGCCGCTCGATGCCGTCGATGCCATCCGATCGCGATCGCTCCGCCCCCATCGCGGGTTGGGGGCCGGAACCCCGTTGCAGGCGGTTCTTTTGGTGACTTCATGTCACAACAGGAAAGCCCTATACCTATACCCACTACCCTACCCGCCCGAACCGGTGAACCTTGAAAGGAGTCTCCTAGCGTCCGAGACTCCTGACCTCGGGAGGATCAACCCACCGCCAACTCCCTGAGGCAGGTGATACAGAATTTGGCCGCCCCCGATGGAGCTTCCTGGATCAGGGTCGACCGATGTCGACCCGTGCCCTTCCTTGAAGTCAGTGTTCCCACGCTCAATCCTCTTCAAGGCACTTGGGATCCGAAAGCACCAAACCACCTTTTCACCAGGTCCTTGCTAGCACCAAAGTCCCTTTTTTCCCACGAGACGAAGAGGACACGTCAACCGGCCGAAGCACCGAACCCCCGGGCCGGCTGAGGGGGAGATGGTCGGAGCCTCCGGTCGGACCTTGGATCTTCCACTGCACCGCCTCCTCCTGACCGAGCCCACCCGGAGTGGGCCGGCTCGGGCCACCAGGTGGGGGGAGCGGTTGGAGCTGGGGGGAGCTGCTCCTCGAGGTCATGAGCTAGGCATCGAATGGAATGCTACATATATGTGTCTATTTGGCACAGCTTTTGACATAGCATATGGGCATAAGACATATCATTCAGGTATCTTGCAGATTACTCGATTGAGAACTTCCACAGGAGGTCAAAAAAAGCACAAAACGTGGCCCTCTGAAGAGAGTAGCTTCGGTCGCTGATGGAGTCCCCCGTTCGCGACACCGTCGCGACGGAGAACAAAGGACCGTAGTAAGACCTGACAGACTCAGGGGAGTAGTGTAGACTGTAGACTCTTGATGAACATGATGAAACCATGTTTAAAATGTAGACTCTTGATTAAATCTGAGTACTGTAGGTTAAATCATCAAAATATTCTCTGAAGAGAAAAAACCCAGATGAAGAGGTGTTGCAAACCATGTCTGGAGGTGGTTGAAATATAATCACGCAATTAGTCTCCTGGCCATGCTTCACTCGTGGTCAATCTATCCGGCCAGCAACACGGCCACAACTGTCTACAAAAAACCCTCGTAAACTGCCATGCAAAGCTCAGCCGCGATCGGCTCGGCCGCGACGCTCGCCTGCCTGAAGAACCACACGGGAGCCGGCACTTCCCAAGAAGCAGCCCCTGGCCGACTCCTGCGGAAGCTCGCGGCCCAAGGGAACAAAAAGGAACCCCCTTTTGAGGAACCAAACCACTTGGTGTACTGCATCATGCCCCAACGACAAAACGGATCACTGAGTTAGTACCCCGCCGGGCCCCGGCGGTCCCGGTTTGCCCTGGAGATGAAGGTCATCGCTTCAATACACATCCACAAAAAAGGATTGATAGATATGGACATGGACCCATACACTCCGTGTATGTCATATATGCCTACATCGGCCCCCAAACAAGACCTGGTGAGACCTGGTTCTATTGACCCGTCACACAAATAGCGCCGTTCCTATTCGGAGCAAACACATGTGGGTCATAAATTCGGAAATGATCACTTGACATTTTACATTCCAAGGTTGCAACCCCCATCCTTGACAGAATCCCATGAGGCTATAGGCAAAAAAGGTGTCCAACAAAAACAACAAGAAAACACGAAAACGAGAAAACAACAACAACAACAACAACAACAAGGTACAAACAAAAACTGCAGCCCCGTTACAAGATATCTTGTTCCTTTGTCTCTACAAGGGGGTGGAAACAAAATCTGCAACCCCGTCGTTGTTATTTTGACCCCCCCCCGAAAACAACCAGCCAACATGTACTTTTACCAGTAGTGGTAGTGCTTGTACTAGTGCTAGTACTAGTGGTACTAGTACTACTAGTAGTCGTTGTTGTAGCGGTCGTAGTAGTAGTAGTAGTAGTTATTATTATTAGTAGTAGTAGTAGTAGGTAGTAGTAGTAGTTAGTAGTAGTAGTAGCAGCAGAAGTAGTAGTAGTAGTAGTAGTGGTAGTAGTAGTAGTTCTTGTTATTATTATTAGTAGTAGTAGTAGTAGGTAGTAGTAGTTAATAGTAGTAGTAGTTAGTAGTAGTAGCAGTAGTAGTAGTAGTAGCAGCAGAAGTAGTAGTAGTAGTAGTAGTAGTGGTAGTGGTAGTAGTAGTAGTAGTGGTAGTAGCAGCAGTAGTAGTAGTAGTGGTGGTAGTCCGGTCAGCAAAGCCTCTGTAAAACTTCTACTTAGAACCTCCACCACATCCTAGAGACAAAAACTGCAGCCCCGTTGTTGTTTTTTTGGATCCCCCCCTCAAAAGATGTTGTTGTCTCTACACCCCCCTAGAAACAAAATCTGCAGCCCCGTTGTTGTTTTTTGACCCCCCTTCCAGAACAACAGCCCCAAAAACATCAAAAACCAAGAAACAGACCAACCAAGACTTGAGCACCACAACGACAAGAAGTCCAGCTACTAACATCTCTCCAACCCTTCGACCCTATCCCTAACAGTGTCCCTTTGAATTTCCTGACTTGCAACATGTGACAACTATGGTGGGCAGCTGTTTTTGTCTCTACCAACAACAACAAACAAACAAACAAACAAACAAACAAACAAACAAACAAACAAACAAACAA